AAATTAGTCTCAAACATTATTTGTGCTCTGTAAATTATGTCAGATAGTTCAAATTATTTTGAATGATTGAAAACACTTGGAAATCCTTTATGACTTTCAGAGCATCATAGCAATATTTTAGATTGTATTTAATTGTTAATTTTATTTCTTAATGTGCATGGCATGCTTCATAATTGTTACGCTGGGCAGTTTAAATTTGTATGTATTATATGCTATTATAACTTTTTTGTTACGGTTTTTATATATTTGTAAATTTTTCTTTTTTTGAACTTTGGTAACAAATGTACTTTCTTTTTCTAGGCTCGGTGGAAGTGGTCCTGTTATATGGTCTTACTTTGCTGAATTCCAGCCAAAATCTAAACGAGGGTCAATGTTAAGTTTTATGGCTGCATTTTGGACGTTAGGAAACCTTTTTGTAGCATGTGAGTCACAATTTCTATAGATGTGTTATCAGTTGATTACTTTTTTGGAGAACAAACCATTACAAAAACAATTTATTTTCATTAAAAACTATTACTATTAAGAAATTAACTGAACTTGTGAGGGAGAGTTTAAGTTAGATTAATTGTTTTGCAACTACAGTAAATCTGACAGGTAATATTAGATATATAATTTACCTAGAAATGTATACATAACAAATCGAATCAATTGCAAATACACTTCTTTATATTTCTATGCTGGATGACTGGAATTTGATTCCCAGCAAAGACAGGAATTTTTCTTCTTGCCATGCATCCAAACCAGCGTTGGGGCCCACACAACCTCCTTGACGCTTTTCCCTGGAGTAAAGTAGCAGGGGCATGTAGTTGATCACTCACCTCCACTTAGAGCTACGGTTAAGAATGCAGCTTTAACCTGATCACCCATATGCCTTCATGACATGGTGCTTATGCACAGGGTTATCTCCACATTTATGTTATTTTTAATAATATTGTAAAATGTGTTGATTTTTTTTCTTAATTTTCAGGTCTAGCATGGCTAATAATTCCAAGCAGTATTGGATATTTTTCACCAACATTTAAGTACAACTCATGGCGTATATTTCTCCTAGTTTGTTCACTGCCAAGTTTTGTTGTGGCTATTCTGCTAATATTTCTTCCTGAGAGCCCAAAATTTTTACTGTCACAAGGTGACCGTGAAGGAGCACTGAACATTTTCAAAAAGATATATCACATCAACACAGGAAAACAGCATGATTTATATCCAGTGAGTTTCATTCTTGAAAGTGTTCTATTGTCAGTGTAGACTAGTAAATTTATTGTGTAAAGCCAGATTGTCCTCTGATGTATGTCATATAAACCACATAACACAAGTCAAAGGTGCCTGTAAAACTTTCTTTAACTGGTATTTTTATTTTGCATTAATTATCTTGTGTGGATAATTATTGAAAAGTTTAGAATTTATTGATTTTGTTGGTATATATTTATGTACCCATTTATGCTTCTATATTATGTCTGGGTAATATCCTGGTTCAGACATATTTTGTTGCATTTTTTGCAGTGTCTTTAACAAAAACATGAGTATTAAACTGTGTTCAAATTTAATATATCTCAGAAACAGTAACTGATTACTATTTCGGAGTTTAAATTATGTTAGGCATGGAAAAATAATAATAATAATAATATATGTAAGATAAATAGTTGAAGAAATGAGGAGCATTTTACCAGATGAACAATTGACAAAAATATTGAATACAATAACAGGCATAATTGGTCAGAATATAATGGCCTTAGGAATGATCTGTGATCACCTTTTCTGGCCTGTGTTAACCATAGACAAGAGTAAAATCCATTTCTGAGATGGAGACACCCATAGGATAGATTCTGTTACCTCCCATGACGGAGTGATGGTTAGTAGAAGGAACCTACAGTTAATGTAGGATCTGAACCACAGTGAAAGCCTAGAATATTACATTTTTCTAAAGTTCTTTTCTTTGACAGATATGAAGTTTTCAGTCTGTAAGAAGAAAAATCCATAACCAAATTTAATCAAAACTCTAAATAAAACCCTAATGTTTTATCCCATGATCACCAGGTCCCTCTATGATATTTAACCAACATATTCTACATAAGGAGATATTATTAATCGCATACAAATCAATGAATGTGGTTGCTGAGTGATAAGAACTCCTGCTTTATATTTAGGTGTTCACAGGCAAAAATCTTGGCCCACAGACTAGCTGTCCTGACTGAGGGTTTTTGTGAATTTCCTGAGATTCTATAGGTAAATGCCAGGATAATGTCTCAAGAAAAGGCCATGACCATTCCCTACAATATCCTTTCTGACTGTCATAAATTATACCATCATTTGATGTTATATAGTCTGAGGTACTGACAGGTCACTAAATAAACCACAAACAAAGCCATGCAAATCCACTGCATGGTCTACACTAGGACTGAAAATACTAAATCACTGGTTATGGATCTCTGTACATGTATTTCCTGAAACTCATATTATCACTGTATGAAATTATTTATGATCAATGATTTAGGATTTGGGATAAGTATAAGGGAATATATTATATATAAAAATAAATTATATATGTATCTTGAGAGGAAACAATGTTACTTAAATCCACGTTTTCTTGCAGGTGAAAGAACTACTAAATGAATTTCCAAAAACTGAAGATGAAATTGAAAAAGAAGAGGAGAAAGTTGGGAAATGTCGAAACATGATGAGTGACATTGCGGACAACAGCAGACAGTTATTTATTTCTCCAATACTGAAATTTACTCTTATTTCCATCTTAATCAACTTTACTTTTCATATTGGGTATGACATTTATTATCATATTGCTTTATAGCAATGATTATTGTTTATTTCCTACAAGGGACAAATATTTCTACTCTCACCATCAGGTCCAGACCAGCTCTTTTATTGCATTATGTCATAGTTTATGGCCATTGACAGACCCTTGGTCCCTGAATGATATCCTAATCATGGGCATCTGTCTCATTTTTCCCCATCCAGCAAAGTTATTAGTTTGCTGATACACATTTTGGACATTTACATATGCAAATAATACTCAATAAATATTCCAGCATTGTTGTTTCAGGTATTATGGGCTGATGATGTGGTTTCCTGAACTGTTCAATCGTTTTAATGCATATTCTCAAGCACATAAGGGGCAAGAAGCATCTGTGTGTGAAATAACAGAATATGTTGTGAAGACAGGTTTGGAATCCAAGGATAAACTGTGCAGTGATAAAATCGAGAGTGATGTATTCATGGAGTCCCTTATTACCGTAGCAGCTGCTTTTCCAAGCAATATTCTTGCAGTACTTTTCATGGATAGGCTTGGCAGAAAATTCTTTCTTGGTAAATATAATAAATTTTATAAGCTAAAAGACAACCAACTCAATGGCAATATTATACCTGAAGTTTCAACATCACTAGTACCACCAAAGTCTGCAAGTGGTTAGATCTATCTTAATATTATTTTCCCATTTCCTAGTTAATTTTCCAATTGTTATCTGCATGAAAAGTCTGTATGCGTCTCTTGTCTCCCACATCCACTTCACAGGTCAGAATGTCTGGCCAATCATAAACTTGATTTTCTGTTCCTAACAATGCTAGGTGATATATATAAAATTAATTTACCCATTACATAATTTCCCTCCTCCAAAGAATCCATTAAAGACTGAGTACCTGTGTAACATTTAATAACATGCTAATTTTTGTGGAGTTGTTAACTCCCCATATGATCTCTGAATTGGACTACCATTCTTGTTGGCTGTCCATGACTGTTCATTGAATGTATTCACAGTTACCCTCCATATTTGGATTTGGAGCCTGTTTCCTTCACCTACAGCCTGAGCACTTATCATATGGTGACAAGGACTAACATAAAGGGCATTGTCTCCACAGTACCTATTTCAAAATATTTTATTCTGTTCTGAAGTGTATTCACATTTACTGTACACATAAAACAATAAATTAATTCCATATTAATGTTTATTGTAGCTGTTACATTTTATTAGAGACCATTTGCTTGATAACATTTTATTTGATTTTAGTTTCCAATGGGAAGTATTTTTATTATTTCATAGGATACATAAAGTTACAGCATCATGCTGGAGTAACATGAAAAAAACAATTAAGAAGCATTATTTTTAGGTATTATTCTCATTTATTTTTCAGAAGCCTAATTTACGGAAAGGCTGTTAAGGGATCTCATAGCAGAAATATATGCCATTGAATTAATTGCTCATGTTAATAATGACTGAATACATCTCACATGTTAATCCTTTCTTGTTTCAGTCTTTAGCACATTTTCTTCTGGTCTTTGTGCCATTGGTATGTACTTTGTCACCAATAAAAAACAAAATCTTATAGTATCAGCTGTGTTCAGTAGTGTCATCAGCTGTGGTAATGCAGCCCTTGACTGCCTCATTACAGAAATATTTCCAACAAATTTAAGGTAAGACTGCTTTATCTTTATATAGTAATTTAATAGTCATTATACAAGGGCCTATCAAAAAGTTCTGAGACTAAAGTATTTATTCAAGCTCCATGAATAGTGAAGAGAAATGGATGAGATGTCATCTAGATGGAAGAGTTCCAGATAACAGTATCACACAAATATTATGCAGGTTCAATCAAATGTCAAGATCATATCATTGGAAATTTTGTATCATGAAGGCTTAGTTCACTTTAAGTACATTCTGTAAATCTGACACACTGTTGAAGGGCTGTAGCATGTTTACATGGTTTGGTTAGAAGAAAATACTGAGAAATGTGGGAACTTGGCACCTGGCGAAACTTTGTCACAAACCCTCTAGTTAAATATCTTGTAAAACAAAACATTCTTGTGATACCACATTTTCCACTCTCCTGATTTTGCCCCTTGCGATTTATTTATCTTCCTAAACTGAAAACTGTATGTAAAGGAACATAATCTGAAAACAAGGAGGATTTCATTAGAAACATGATGAGAAAATGTGGAATCATAGGTTTTTGTCCAGAAGTGGCAAGTTTCTGGAATTGGGTTATTAAGTTCAAGGTTATGACTTTGAACAGAATTTAATGTGGTGAGCTGCTGGATCAATCTCAGAACTCCTTGATAGAGCTTAATAATTTAAATTAAGGATTACATGAACCACTCTTTTCTTTTAAATAGAAAAAACAAAAACTATTCTATTTCCTTTCACTGCCTCCCTCAAGTGCAAGTTGATACTAATTTGTATGAAATTTATATAAATATAATATAATATAAATATAATATAATACTCTCATTAAAATGTTAATGTAATGTTTAAATTGATAAAAATGTTTAAATATGCTGTTCCCAGAGCAACTGGTGTAGCAATATCCATGGTTGCTGCCAGACTTGGAGGTATCATTGGCAATATTGTGATAGCTACTCTGTTAGATATGTATTGTCCTGCACCAACATTTATAGTAGCTGGACTTCTTATAGGTAAGAATCATTTTATATATCACATGTGGAGCTAAAGAGATATATTTTACTATTTTTCGTAATTTTCTTTCTTATAAGTCTACAGAATTTTTTCCTTAATAATTTTAATGAATAATAAATCTTCATTATTAAATTGAATTGAAGAAATTGTGAATTGTGAAATATTCTCAAATTCTGGCCTTCTTATATCAGATATGTAATTTAGTCGTCGAGATAATGCAATTTCACATTCTCCACACTTTATTCCACATGTATAAAAATTGCTGTGGTTACTAATCAAATGGTTTAGTTGATATTGCAACTTCTGTATTGATTCAACTGGCAAAGGAAAATTGTCCCTCTTAGGGTTGTATTTATGTACAAACTAATGACTGACTTCAGGTGTTAAGTAAGGCAAGGAACATTAAAGTCAACAGTCTACCAATTCTTAGAAATGGGTTAACACATTTCTCATTAAAAATCTATTACTTTATTGTCCATTCAATAATATAAACTATTATCATGCCAGAGGTATCTCATTTGTCAAACTTTAATCTTATCATCTTTGTGTCATGTCTAAGACATGACACAGTATAGTTTTATATGTGTCACACTAGTGCTCTGCTATACCATTAACCCAGTAGTTGAAGTTCTGGTAGCACCTCCAGTGTGTGGGGGTTTAAAATGCCTTCTTCTGTATAATAAAGGTTAATTCTTATTCCATCACTTCCTCTTGTAAGACTTCTTGTATAAAACGTCAGTATATAAATGCAAAGACAGAATCATGTAACACCCTTTTTTTTTCAGGGGGAGGATTACTTTGTTTAATGTTACCAAACACAACCCGTGAACCACTTTCTTGACATCTGCTTAAAAAACATCATCATATACTGAAACCAAGCAGCAGGAACTGCCCACAATCCTGTCAAAATGGACTGACCTTGAAGCCAAAACGTTGACGATAAAATCAGCGGTTTCATGGAATGTTCAAGTAGGAGAGCAACCATGTAGAAGAAGCTTTATTAGACATCACATAATTCATTCCAGATACATTCTGTAAAAACATGATGTAGCATTATATTTTAAGAAAGGACACTTGTTCAATATTTTTGGTATTAACATGAACAAGCTGGTTATCTTGTATACTGATGAGTGCATTGCAATGTTTGTTAGTACAGAGTGAATGTGATAGTTGTTGCCTTATAAGAACATTCCTTGGGTTTGATTGCTTGAAGACTAGAATCTGTGATAAGTAAACTATTGGTGAGGTTCCTTTTAACTGTAATACCAATGTTATGTTTAATGCCACAGCTATGGACAGGAGGTTGGAAAAGATTTTAAATTACAGCATTTACTGTATTCACAGTATGCTAACTGAGAAAAACATATCATGACTGTAGATCACAATTTCAACTAGTTTGGTTATGGGGCTTTGTACAAGCCACATCAAAGGCAGCAAAAAAACAAATTTTGAGCCTCAGATCATAACATAATGGCACATGATAGAACTTGTCAGTCTTTCTGCCAGACATCTTGACATCCATTGAAGACATGTATCTTTTAACAGTTACTGTAACTGTTCTGTATTAGTAATTGGCATACCAAATTTATTCATCATAGGTACAAATTTGGTAACACATTCCTATTTACCCTATCAAAGTTCATACTATTGCTTATATTCATAAGGCATATAATCTCTTGATGAATTCTGAATCTGTTCAGAATTTAACTGTAACGTAAACTTGCTAATGAGATTATTTGGACAGGATATCTGCAGAAACAATTTCATGTGGCAACATACCAAGGGATGTGTTAAGATATTTTAATTAGGTAAACGTAGATTTAATACAATGTGTCAAATTATTGGGGGAGGGGGACTGAGCAATCACCTCCTCTGTAGACTAAGTGTTTTGGAGGGTTTCTCCTGAAAACTGTTTTATTTTTGTTGGGTTGATTCCAGTTATAACAAATTGGTTACATAGGAATAACTTAATAATGATTTTAAAATATATTAAACTGATTGAACATTTAAAAATTGTGATTTCCATACATACTTTGCTTGCATTTATTTATTTATTCATGCTGAAAGTTTTGGTATGCGAGTTAGACTTCAGGTGAGACATCTCTTCAGGATACCCAAGACTTTCACTGAATATTAAGCTACAGTATTACTTGTTGTCAAAGCTTGTGATATTTTAACATCTTGGATGACATCAAAACAGGTGTAATTTTATGATACTAAAAGTAACACTTATGACATTAAATTGATGCCTTATATCCTTGGGAAATATGTGCAGGCAATAGACAAACAACTCTGACATCTTTTTCCAAGCAGTCTTAAACTCAGTCATTTAATATGGCTGCCAGGTCTTTAGGACAAAGAAGGTTATACATAACAATTTTCCCACGTCTTTCCTAAGTGTAGTATAGCCACAGATAACTCTTACTCTCAGTATGAGACATAAGACTGAGGATTTCTAGGATCTGAGGGATGTCAGTATAATTCTAGAATTCTTCTTAAAAAAGACCTATATACAATTAAAATGATGTTACATTTTGAAATTTATAGAAAACTTGTCAAAATACAGTCATACAGCTACATATTAATTCATATAATAATAAAGTTACAGTAGATTAAACAATTATAACAAATTGTGTATCACTTATGAATATTAATAAGGCCAAACGATGCATGTATAAACAACTCCAGCTTATATTATCTTTTGGGTCTTTGTTAAATAAATTATTGCCCAAGTACTGTCTCTCTGCACTGAACTCTCTCCTTATTTAATCATTCACAATTAGTTGCATCTACTGTAAAAAACAACCACCAAAATATCTGTTCTACATTAATGAACATTTAATTTTTAAACAAATTATCTTAATATTGGAGAGAGCTGATACAGCTTACATATCAATTAGCCTAAAAAATAACTTACAATGGTGTGTTACAGAATGTGCTCTACTTTAGTTGTACTTTGTATTTATATTTTTACTGACTTTGAAGAATAATCAACAGCATACATACTTCTACTTTCTGATAATCAAAATACACAATTAAATCTGACATGCTGCTGTGGAAATAGAAAGACCCAGAAGAACATCTTTACTGCCATGAGAACCCCAATCTCATGAAACAAAACAATTTATTTCATCATTCTGAAATAAGGATGAACACAAGATTTTTTTTTTTAAAACTTGAGGTAAAGAATGATACATTCTTCAATTCATAAGAACTATACAAAGATTCCCATAATATTAGCCCTGTAGGATTTATTTATTTAGTATGGTAGTACACTCTTCTTTCATGTGTTTGAGCCACACTGCTTGTTCAATAATTGTCATGTCTTGACGACTATAACCATGTTTTCACCTCCTGGAAAATGTCTGAAACTTGTCACCAAAACATTACATCAGGAACTGGCCCATATGAGCAAAATATTCATCTTGGCACTGAACCTGTTTGTCTCTTTCCTTTTAAACCCTTATATAATCAAATTTTGACCTCCCTTCTATAAACAAAATGTATGGTAGGTTTGCCATGGTACTGGAAGAGAAAGTAGGTTTTGCTATCCACAATATTATAGGTGCTGCTGCAGACACCTGTTTCCAACAGCATCAGAATTAAAATGAAACTTACCTATGGATAGGAGTAATACAGACACAGAGGAAGCAGGGACTGGCTGGTGGTGGGGCTTAGTTTGGGACTTCTTAATGTCGTAACTCACAGTATAACTAATTAAATATTTACTGAATGATTTCACTGCCCTGCCAGGAACCTGTGATTATGAACTGTGAGAAACATGAGAATATGAAGATACATTTAATGTTCCAACAATAAAGACAAATAATTTTTATATAGCTTTTATTGACATTTATTTGAAATTTCAGCACTCCAACAAGTTTCCAGATTTTTATCTCTAATCCCTCATCATCTTTTCCTTCTGGCGAGCCAGCTTCTTCTTTGACACTTTCTTCTTAGTTGGCTCCTCCTCTGTGGCTTTTGCAACCACTTCTTCCTTTTCAGTCAAAACTACTTCAATGTGACATGGGGAGCTCATGTATGCTGTAAACAACATTTTTATTAGTCCTCTAATTAAAAAAATTTAAATCTGGAACAACAACAAAATTGCTGAAAGAGGAAAGGTCTGTACATTATTCAACCGCATTAAAAAGGTTTTACTGCACTTTATATTCACCATTATCTGAACTGTTGAATAAATATAGGTTAACATTAAATTTCGCTATGTTACTTCTAACAGGAGAACTGGTATTCATTCAAGTTATTCCACTTAATTCTCAAAGCACCAACCACCTTCGTTACAGATAAACAGTGCAATTTCTAACCCTCTGATTATATTTAAGAAAACCACAAAGAAATCTCTCAGTAGCTAGTTTCCAGGCTGAGCTTGACTTGGGAATTCCCATATATGAAGGAAGAATGTCAAATATTTGGTCAGGATATTCTGTATTTGGGCTCTTTTTGGTATTGTCAGTGAACTTTGACATGGTTTTTATCATCAGTTGCATGCAGACTATGTAAATATTACATTAACTCCCCTTCAACTATGCCACAACCACTTCCTTGCACATCTTTTCCAATCCATTATTGATTTTAGACATGAGTACATACGATTGATTCTTCCATGGGCTCTGTAAGTCCTCCTTCTGAGACACGGTGCCCGATTCACTTGAATATGATCAATAACCAGGCGATCAACATCTAAACCCTTGTAGTCTGCATTTGATTCTGCATTCTTTAGCAGCTGCAGCAAGAATTCTGCAGATTTCTTTGGCCATCGACCTTGTGTTGTTTTCCACTGCTTGGCCTGTGAAAGGAAAATACAATATTAACCTCTCATACATGTTTTACTAATCTTTCTCTCATTTTATTTTCTTCAGCACATTCAATCATGTTGACAATACACACTTTACCCATGTTACTGCAGGTGGAGGGAAAACAAAAGGTGAAAGTAAAATTTTAAAAATTATACATGTCTATCATACTTAGTGTGTCAGAAAAATGTACTTACCTGAGCACAGCGTCCAACACCACCATTGAATCGTCGAAATGGAACACACTCTTTATGATCAATAACATTCTTCAAATACCGTACTGCACGCCTCAAAGCCATTCTCCTCAGGGTCATTGCTGTTTCCCTGGTATTCTAACAAAAAGCATAAGCATGAAACGATTTTGTTCTGAATATAAGCAGGTTCCTCGAAAACATCGGTAACTACCCACAGGCTTACAGTATCATAATCCAAAAAGACAATCTAAACTGTAACTGCCATAAAAGTCTCAAGAAGCATTGAATGATCAATGTTACGCTTCAGTACAACAAATTTACAATTAGTGTATCATTTCGCCAAAATACTTTGGTACTTTTGGCATCTTTTTTACTTTCACAAATACGTAATCAATTAGCCTCACCTTGAAATGTACCCGGAGATTTGATCCACGGGCCTTACACGATTTAGTAGCATTATCTGGTTCATGAGAATACCGTCCCATGTTTATTCTACACAAAATAAAAACACATGTTAGAAATGGTACAAAGAATATGGTGAAGGCTACCAAACATGTGTCATTTCACATTACGGAAACAAATACCTAGAAAATACAGAAATATAAATTATTTAAATTGCAACAACTGTAACACAAGAAGACATAACAAATCTTTAAATGCCGATGGAATACGATTTATTCATAAACGCACAAACTATTACCTTCTTACAGCAGAATAACAACCGGAAAGGACATTAGTAGTTGGTATCACTGATTACCTGGGTAGTTCATACAAATTACCAACATGACTTTCACTATGCATCTCAGCACAACAAGAACCAATCTGGGAGTGCGTTCACTACGTTGAGATGCGTTGAACATGTAAAAATTTAGTTGCTACATGGTGGCTACGTTCCAGTTGTTTTGGAATTGGAGTATGTTTTGTGGTAGTATCGGAAAGCAATGAAAAAGAAACAGGACCGTTTTATTCAGCGACGTACCTGTCAAAATTCTTGCGCCTTGCCGATGATAGATTGTACATTGTATTAATTTTTTTCAACCTTTGTATGGAAAAGTATCATACAGTAAGATTCATGTATGTGTATTAAACTGTAACAAATGCAACAAGAATGTATTTAAGTTGCTAGGGTACATATTATTTTCCATATTACTCCCGGGAAAGGCACCTGCATTATTCATTGCATAGGAAATAGGATGGGCCACAGAGCTGGTCTGGACACAGGTTAGAAAAAAAATTTACTTCTGCTGGGGATTGAACCCAGTCATCCAGTCTGTAGATGGACATCACTAACTGCAAAGCCACAGCTCATAAATGAGACAGTAATTGAAATTAATTGTTTTATCATTCTATTTCTTAATTGTCCATCGTGTAACCTGGAGATTATGGAGTTTGACGTCAGTATACCGCATTATTTATTAAAAAGCTTTTAGGTGGTCTGCTCGCATTTTCTTGCATGATACTGCAAACAGGTCCGAGCTTTCTCAGAGTTAATGACTCTCACTGCTTCTTGCAGCACATTATGCAATTATGGCTGAAGGTCAAAAACTGAAAAGTTTCCAGATATTAAATATTATATATTGAAATAATTGAAAACATCGTTTTCTATAGGTCCAAATATACATTTTAAGACTAACTATAGAGTTGAATACAAGTATGTGAGACCAAAACGTGTTTTTCATTGACAATTTTTAAACCTCAACTGACCTTACTCCATATGAATATGGGTACTTTATGGTTCAGTACATTTCTGTAAGGGGATTGTGGAATGATATGGATGAAATGGTTATTATAATTATGCCATTTCGAAGGAACTCATGGTGCTATGATACCTTCAACTGATGGATAAAAGTTTTGTGAAAATTGAAGATTTCTGTCTTTTGGGTTGTTATGCCATATAGTATGGTAGATGTTTACCAACGTTTCATAGGTCATACTTCTGAAACGTTGGTAAACAATTGCCATACTACACGGCGCAACAACCCAGAAGACAGAAATCTTCATACTCACCACTGTGAAAACCTCAAATAATACATATATGAAAATTATTATACAGATACTCATTTTTACCTTAAATATGGATCAAGTTCCTCTGAGACGTAACAACTTACGATATCACGGTTTCAAAATTGTTCATGGTATATAAGCAGTCTTAGTGACGGGGGGGGGAGTAGTTAACTTTCTTACCGACGGGGCTACTGTTACGTCACTGGTTGTGTTTACTTGTGAATCACTCGCAGGGCGCAGCAAAATACTAATGGCTCTACGTTGCCCATCAATACCATTGGAGTTACACAGCTGGGCAAATCTGTTTGGGGCTGTGGTCATTCCATGAAGGAAGAAAACATATTGTTCTGTTTTGTGGTAATGAATGGTCGATGTAGTAATTTTAATGAGTCGTCTCACACGTTCACATATTATTAAGCGGACGTTGTCGTGAATCGAAGTGTTTATAGTTTTTAAACTGATTTTGGCGAGGAAAAATAACTGCCGGCGCAGTACTTCGAACTTAACATGTCCAAAAACAAGTTAAATTTAACTTTGCCACCCGGCTCGATAGAACCTGCCCCACCAATTACTTCTGCCGTTCCAGTACCTGTCCATGTGGAAGCTCCAGTGGTGCCAGAGTAAGTCAAAATATTATTAATTGAGAATGAGGTTTTACAGTGTAGCGTAGTTTGGTTAAAGAGTTCTCACATTACTTAAACACAGGGAACGTCCTAATTATGTATGGTTTCTAAACAAATTTATCAAAAGCCCTATAAAGTACCTGAGTTTAGTTTTATAGTGTTACTTAATACTGCTGCTTCAGATTGCCTATGAAGTAATTTTTGATTGACACACACTGTGCTCTCAGTTTTGCCATGACAATAGAACCTCATATTTTATTTCATATACCGTCCATCAGTGTAAACTGTGCTTGTTGCTTGAATAGGTGTGTAACTTGTTTTGGTGCCTGTTAAGTTGCATTAGTTGTGAGAAGTTAAAATTTAAACAGTTTACATGCTAAAAGGAAAGCTGTCAAAGAACAACCATTATATCATTTGCAGATGACCAAGTAGTATTTGTACAGCACATATAATATATATAATGTTTGAACATGAAGCAGACACAATGTTGGTCAGTGAACAGATGCAGTACCACATTGATGTGTTCCTACTAACTTATACATTTGTGTTAATTTGCACTTAAGTTATGTGCCAGCAGTAATGGATTCTAGTCGTTCACTCCAGAGGGGATGTTGAGTCATGTAGTCTGGTACATGTTGACTGACATTACAGAGGAGCTTAAACCTTATTCACACAAGTCAAGATGCTTGAATGCAAGTCACTTGAGAACAATTTGAAAGGACTTGATCAATGTGAACTGTGTTTCAAGTTTGGTGAAAGGACTGTTTCAAGTAAAGTAGGAACCATACTGGTATTTTTGAGAAGGAGGCTGAAAGGCTATAAATTATATTGTTAACAGAATTTCTTGTTGTGAACATTTACAAAATGACTGATAAGTAGAGTTGTGATGATTTTTAAAGTCACGAAAAGTATAAGATGTTAGGGAACATTGAAACTGATAAGTAGACTATCACTACATAAATGCAAGAGTTCAATGGAATGAAAACAATTTCTTGAGAAGCTAATCACTGAAGAATTAACTGCAGATTATATTAGAAGAAAATAAGATAATGAAAACAATGTGCTACACCCATGTGATTCCTTTTACTAATCATTTCCAAACACTAGCAGATCTTTTTTTTTCTAGAAATGGTGATATTTCACTCAGAGGACACCAGGACATGTTACCTCTGGTGACATTTTATTTTGTACTGTCATCCAGTGAACTTGCCTACTTGTGAACATAAGCTTTAATTCATGATTCTGGTATTCTAGCTGCTTGCATTCAAACAACTTGACTAATGTGAACAAGCCTTTACTGCCTCATGAACATTGTCCCATGGGATTATCGAGTGTACTGTGGAAATGGAAACCGATGGCCATCTTTCCTTCCTTGAGATCAGCATGTACTATACACCTGATGTCTCACTGGGCCATGGAGACTACCATAAACCCATCCATACCTCTGTCTTAATACCAGCTCCTATCACAACCCTTGTAAGAAACATGCTGTGCTTTCCATGTTGGTGCACAGATCCAGAACACTCTGTTACCGAGAAAGCCTGTTTGATGAGCTGGAGGTTTCTAGGGGCCAATTTTAGGGAGAAAGGTTGTAGCAACTGGAAGATTCAATGGGCTTTTAGTTGACCGAAGAGAATCACCCTGGCCCTGAAGAAACCCATCTCGGTTGCCCTTGTGCCATTTATCAGCGTGACCTTCAGTTGCATAAGCAGAATGCTGTCCATGTAAAAATGAAGTTTGCGGGGCTCCACCAAGGAAGATTTCCAGTTTCTTTTGGCGTATGAAGAACAACTTGGAACATCAGACTCCGGGTATGTACAAGCATATCCTGTGAATGTGATTAAGTCTACACTGGGCAGACTGACCATTCCATTGAGATCATGGTCAAGGAGCATCACGGGCACATCTATCTGGAGCATTCAGGCGAATCAGCCGTAGCCAAACACAGCACAAGCATGCACCTTATCTAGCCTGCTCCTGTATCTAACCTAACTTTTCCACATGCTGCTTACTCATTACTCATCATTACTGATAAGAGGCTGTAAGCACCTCTGAAACATTGATCAACGTGTATCATACTACACTATGCAGCATCCCAGAAGACAGTCATCTTCTTACTCATACTCTTACTGCAGCATAACATTTTAGTGTAATTGCTACTGTGTGTTTATAATATTTTTAGTCAAGATTGCATTTTCACAGATTTAATTTCTTTGATATTTCTAGAATCATCTGTAGGCCCAAAACATTATACAGGAAGCACTTCTGTTTTAGGCGAGGTACTTTAGTGGGGAAGACAAGTATTGAGGCTCTTCAAGAGCGACTGGAAGAACTTCAGATGGATGATACACAGCGCAAACGTATGGAATTCTTCCTATGCCAAAAAGAAAAGATTGGAGAACTAAGTGATGATGATTTCGAAAAACTTGGAGAGCTTGGTGCTGGCAATGGTGGTGTGGTAATGAAAGTTCGACATCGCTCTAGTGACCTTATTATGGCCAGAAAGGTAACAGTTTTAAACAGATACTTGCTGCATTTTTCTTTTTTGTTCATGAATAGCATGTGCATATGCAATTTATTCATAAAGAAATTGATAAGAAGTTATGAAATCTGCACATAGTATAACAATTCTGGTACATTTGCCTTTAGTCTGTGTGAATGGTGTCACTGACTTAAGAGTTGGGGGTTCCCCACATGTTTATGTGCGTGGCTGGATGATGCCATTATCATTGTGGTTATCCCTACATGATTGTGTGAGTGCTTATTGTTGTCAAATTGTGTTTGAAATTGGAATTTGCAAAAAATAAAATAAAGGTTGTCTCAACCAGGGCACCTGTCAGCTGAAGATGGAAGTGGAACCAACTTCTGAAACATTGTGGTATTTTAAAACAACAAGATGATTTAACTCCAGAAGAAAGAAATTTGAATTTGCTCAAATGACATGTCTGTGACAGTACAGTTTATAAGGTTTTATGAAACATAAATAAATTGGCATCTCTGCCTTCCATATTTATGCAGGCCACAGCTGTACAAATTAATAGGGCAAGACTTTCTTTAATACTGAATTGAAAATAAATTTTTATAGGTTTTTGTTTTGTATTTATATTACAGTTAATCCATTTAGAAGTAAAGCCTGCCATTAAGAAGCAGATAATTCGAGAGCTGAAAGTTCTACATGATTGTAATTTTGCACATATTGTAGGGTTTTATGGAGCATTTTACAGGTAAGGAGTGTTATATTTGTTACTAACCTTCCAATTTGTACTTGTAGAATAGATTAGAACAATATTATAACCAAGTGTGAATATTGTCATATAAAATTTTAACTCGCATTATTAATGTCTTTTAAAATAGACATAAGTGTTGATTAAATTTTAATCTCATTTGCTTTGCTGTTATTGTGATTCAGCAAAGCCCAGTTCCATGTAGTGGTCCCAGAATTAAATCCATTTTTACATCTTAAGAGAAGCCTTTCTTTCATCATAGCTATCATAATTTTATTTAGTTCATATAACAATGACAATAAAAAAGTATAGATTTGTTTTTCTGGGTTATGATGCCTTGTGCAGTCTTGTAGATGGTTATTGATGTATCGGAGCAACTTACAACTTCTGTTCTCATAACCTAGAAGACTGTAATCCAAATTGTCAACAGGCAGGAAGATCAGCAAATAAAAATGGGTCTACAGTAAAATTTAAAAGCAGTAAAATCGGGAATTTTTTTATTGTTACATTGATTTTATTGTGTTGGTATTTAAAAACATTAATGCCTCAATGTCACCATTTAGAATGTTGTACTGTATATTGACTATCCTGGTGGTGAAGAATAGTTGTATTTCTTTTTAGTGATGGTGAAATAAGTATCTGTATGGAATATATGGATGGTGGATCATTGGATCTCATCTTGAAGAAGGCTGGACGAATTCCAGAATCCATATTAGGAACTATTACTTCGGCTGTGAGTATACGGAGTTGTTATTTTCTGATTGGTCATGATTTCAGTATAATTATGTATATTTTATAAATTTTGTACATAATGTGAAACTCCTTACACTGGAGCTCTGTTAAGGTTTCCAGAGTCTGAGCAATTTAAACTTCTTATGAGGTAAAATACCTTCAAAGATAAGTTCAGATAAATATTCAAAATATGTCTTCATAGTTATGTGCTTTAAAATACCAATGAAATCATTAATGAAAGGAGAAGTATTGAATTATAATTTTGAGTACATTGATTTTATGTTATTCCTCTCTGCAGCTTCTGTTTGCTGACTTTTTATTCTAAATAATGCTGATATGCTTGACTGACTGATATTGTAATACAGTAATAAATTTCAGAACATGTGGTAACACTGTGCCAACAAAATAAACAGGGTGAGTTCACATATTATTTGGATCTTGTCAGGGTTACCCATGGAGCCCACATTGAACACTTTTGGTTTGAGAAAAAATCTTTGTAGTTTCTGTTTCCAAAATATATAATGTTGGTTTTGCATCTCATTCGTTTTACTCATAATAAATTTCTGTTTTCATTTGTAATGATCCCATGTTTTACCACATCCAACAGAATGGATATTTCCCATGTTTGAAGTTTTTATTTATTTGTTTTCCTTCTAGTCAAATGACTGCACTTTTGTGCAAGTCAGTTATAATTGCCACACTTGTTTTTCCACTGTATACTGATGTAAAATTTCTCACATTTCAAATTAATGATTTATATAATACATCCTGCATAATTTTTAATTTCAGATTTCAGTGCCAATGACTATTTTTTCTGTTTTGTTGTTAATACCATATAAAGGAGTTAATTTTTGTATTTTAAATAAACATTTTTATGTTTGTTTATGGGTTATAATGCCATATGGACTCAGAGAAACATAGTCTCTCCATCAGCCATATAGATGGAAGCAGTATGTTTCTCTAAAACATAAGTGTTTACCTATGAGTTTACGTAGTGTTACAACTCAGAAGAACTACATTGACATTTTTACTGCTGTGAGAACCTCAGATTTCACTCTTTCAGATGTTGTGGTAATTAGGTTTTGTAGGCTATTATTTGTATTGTACTGTGTGAGGCAGACATGGTTCTAGTCCTCAGAAGTCCCACTGCTGTTTTGCTGGTCTTCATATCTGATGAAGTTGAGAACCATTATGTTATGCTGTAGTTTTTGATGAAAATTATTCTCTTCTATTTGTGCTTTCTCTCTTTAAACAGGTTCTGAAAGGCTTAAGTTATCTGAGAGATAAACATGCCATTATACATCGTGATGTCAAACCAAGTAACATTCTTGTTAATAGTGGTGGAGAAATAAAAATATGTGATTTTGGAGTGTCTGGTCAACTTATAGACTCTATGGCAAACTCTTTTGTTGGAACACGCAGTTATATGTCGGTAAGAGTTTTGTAGTAGACCCTATCCTTTTGTTGGAATTCATACATTAAGTCTTGTTTTGATATTGTGCATTGGTTTGCACATAACTCTTAAAATGTGCTTTTGTAACCTATACATATCCTTCAAATAGAAACAGATGACAGGGAAGTGAAGAAAGAGACAGTTATAGTAATGCGAGGTGTAGAACTGTGGTGTTGTCTCTGCTGGTCTTAGCTGTTGTGTAGTATACTCAGTATACTTACAAGAATTGTACATATTAAAAGTTTTCTCTTCAGTGTCATGTGCCAGAATGACTGTAAAATCACAAATGAAGTAAGCATTATGAAAATGTGTGCTTTGAAGGAAATAATAGTGAATATTTTGTGTAACAGGGGCCAATGTTTTGGCATCCTGAGTTTTGTTGCACAGCAACTTTACTGTATTTTGTAATTCTCTCCTTGCCACTGAACTGTTTGAGCCAGCTGATTTTGTTAGGCCTGCTATGATCTGATCTGGCTCATGCTTCTCTTGATGTAATTTTTGTATGTATTTATGTAGAAATAATTTTCTTCTTATTCTATGATGCCTTCATTTTACAACAAATCTGAAACCTGGAGGAAAATTAGTGAAGATAAGACCATTTTTAGACCTTTGCAGCACTTCCATTGACAGTGAAGGATCTTTCAGTTGATGAATGAGTGGTTTTGTGGGTGATTGGTTCCAAGGCACTGTATCATAGCTAAGAGGCGATAATGGTGTGTTATGTCTCACATAATACTCTAAAATGTACATCAGCTATTGGTGTGTCATGGCAGTGAATTTTGTTGAGAGGGGCAAATCTTCTATTTCAAAGTTTTCTTGTATGTACATTTAAAACGATATGTACTTTTGTTTCTTTAATAATAAATAGTTTGTCTAGTACACTATCATTCATTTTTAAAAGTTGGCACTGACTGTTGTTATTATTTTCTAGCCAGAAAGATTGCAAGGAACACACTATTCAGTACAGAGTGATATTTGGTCACTTGGGCTGTCTTTGGTTGAGATGGCTATAGGAATGTATCCCATTCCTCCTCCTGATGCTAAAACACTGGCTGCCATATTTGGTCAAAGGATGGAATCAGACAACCACATTCATATTCCACCCTCCCCAGTTAATAGTAAGTACCAACTTACAACCATATTTTAGCACACATTGGAACTTTGGTGTCCACACGAAACACTGTTGTGAAGAACCACAAGGATATCGAAAGAATTTATGCCCAGTGCAACAGTGCTCCTAAGGTTTGTGAAGTCCAGAGTGTTGACGGGGTGTTGGACCAACAGTTGACTAGGTCAGAAAAGAAAGTTGCAGAAGTTAAAACATCATATAGGGATGGAATGTAACGACTGGAAGCAGTCAGAAAGTACATTTGCCAATTTCATACAGAGGTCAGTATTATTGTTGTGCATTGACATTTCATATTTTAGCTGTTTTCTATAATTTTTGCTATGAAAGAAGATGGGCATGATTTTTGAGTGCCATATGAAGGTAATGTGACCTAACGGTGTAATTAAGTAAACCACTAGCAAATAAAATATTTTTATACCCGCACTGTGTGTGTGTGTTTGCATTAATACATTTGGGATCAAAGAGTGCCACAGAAGATTTTGAAACAGTTGTTAGATAATGAATTTTTAGTTACTGCTAGATAGAGCCATACTTGTACCTAACTTATTAATTCAATTTTTTTCATCATTTGTGTTCTAAGAATATGTCTTGCTAGTGTGCGATCTCTGGAATTCTATGAAATTTTCTCTTTCCATGTTTGATTGTATAAGTAATAAGTAACAAAGATATAATACAAATCCCTTCCACAGGTAACTATCTTCAGGGTTCCAATGGCCCAAGGCCCATGGCAATTTTTGAATTGCTGGATTATATAGTGAATGAACCACCACCTAAACTTCCAGCTGGTATCTTTACAACAAGTTTCAAGGACTTTATTGACAGTTGCTTGAAGAAAAATCCTGCTGAGAGGCCAGACCTGAATACACTCATGGTAAGATTATCTGCTTAATTTAGGTTGTAGGTGGAAGGATGTTTAGCAGTGATTGTCATTTTGTGATGCCTACAGTCATATAATCAGGATCTAATTTTGAATGAAAGACATTTAACGCCACACAATGAACTGATCTGTGTTGTGTTCCTGAGATTTTTGTATAGCTTCCTATCTGGAACAGTGGCATTGGCTAAGATCAGAAATTATTTTATCTCCATACTTATATGAGAAAAGAAATGGAATCAGTGTTGTTTGTGTTGAAGAACAAATTTGCCTAGCCACTGGACTATACTAGTGAAATACGCTTCCAAAATGTTGTATATGGGAAGTTTTGCATAGAGAAAGAATGGTTTCATGAATTTTTTTTGGTTATTTGTAATTTATGAAATTATAGGTTTTCTCACGTGTAATAGTGTGACAGAATTTCCAACTTGCTAGAGATAAATTTGTTTTTTTATTGTGATTTCAGAATCATGAATGGGTAAAGAAAGCAGAGTTAGAGGATGTAGATATTGCTGGCTGGGTATGTAAAACCATGGACTTGTTGCCCACAACACCAACTAGGGTAGCACCCAACTTCTGAGAAACACAGTGTTATGGCAGAAGAGCCAATAACACTTCTTCTTCAAGTCATATTCTGCTTTGCAGCAATTGTCTTGTGCATTGTTGTGATGTTATGGTGCTTGCAATAGTAAGCAGTGAGTTGATTAACATTTTTCCATCATCTTTCTGCAGAGATGTGAATATTATTGAAATATATCAATCATTGTGTATGTGTATATACGTATATATCATAATATCAGCCAAGAATATTTAAGAAGCTCTCAACACATTTAATGGAAGTGTTGTGTTCTAATTATTGCCTTCTGTATGCAAAGAATTCATAGTGGACTACTATTGATTAGAATCAATGGTTGGTAGGAATTTTAATATTAAATTATTTGTAATATGTATATTTTGTTGGTGTAGTATGCTGTAACATGATGAAACATGCCATACAGAAAATGAAGCAGGTTATGCTGTGGTTTTAATAATGCATTTTATGGAAGAGTGGACATTTTGGTTTGATAAATTTACGGGTGAATCGCGGGTTTAGGACATGAGAAGTGTGTAGCATTGCAAAGTAGATAGATCAGAATTCTTCCACATCTTGTTAATGTAGGTTTTCATTATTGCCATTATAACACATATATTTGTGTGTGTGCATGCATGCATGTGTGCTATAAACTTGCTGTACAGATTTACCATATATATACATATACACTTTTGATAGGTACCATGCTAGTCGTTTTAAAGGTGAACCTACTATTCTGTAACCTATTAGTCTCTTGGCATGACATATCTGCCCTGTTATGTCATGTTGACATGTCATACAAGCAGTTGTGTTGTGTTTGATCACTTTGTTACATATAGTTTTCGTATAATACTGTTATGTATGTTGAGGTCATTGCTGTAATGATCATAGACCACTTGTGTATCACAGAAGCCTGATGACAGAGTTGGACATTAAACAATTCCAGGGTATATCAGTATTACAGCTAAAGAAGAAAATCACAATTTACAACATTTATGAGCATATGTACCGAAGAGCAGAGTTCCTCTGGAATATATTTATCCAAATACTGTGTGCACTTTCTTCACAAAAATGTTACATTAAAACTGCTGGAAACATCTATTAGGATTTGTACAGTGTATCTGCCATAATTGCAGAACCAAGATACTATGTCAATAAAAGATTTAATGTAGTGTGAGCATCATTTTCATTTTGCAAGGTGACAACTGCATAGATGAAGTATTGTGAATGGAGAATATTATGTTTGAATGCTTGGTGTATATATATATTGTATACTATAACTTACCAGTAAATTTACAATAAATTTACATTTTCTTTTTTAAGGTTTTAAAGTATGAAGTACATATCTTGTATGGGGGTATGTGATATTTGTTCAAGTACCATATTATATTTATGCTCCATTTGTTGTGATATCATTCTGACATCAGTTTAGCCTAAATGTAGAATCTGTATTTTCCATTTGCTCCTCAAATTCCTTAACTCACATAACCCAAACACATTTTGCAGTTCAAATCTCCCTGATTTAGTGTACACCCCTCTTAACATTCACTGCCACCTTAACTAAGTGCTATACTGACCCCAGGCAGATGTGTGAGATATAATACATCAGATAGTAACTGTTTTATTATACGGGCTGTCCCAAAAAGATGTTTACACACAGGGATTACATGTCAGCATAGTGTATTTTAACAAAGGGACCACTCAGCTCCATACAATGCGAAGGTTAAGAATGTGCGAACTCCCGGATATTGGTTCATGTGTTGGTTCGTAATTAAGTCTTAGTAACCAAGTTTCTATGATATACATGATAGCGGGAAATTTTGGAGAAACATTTCCCCATTGTTTGTAACTAAATTCCCACTTGTTTCACATTCTCTGTGTCGTTTATACGGAACAAATGAAGTCAATATAATGTAATTGATCACAATCAAAGCTATTGTAACATGTGTATTTATTAGAAGAAAATTATCCATGCTTCCATACATGTATTTTATGTATCCAAAGCGATACAAGTTTTGTTTGAATCTAGTTTGAATACTTTTTATTGGAATTTGTTTTCCGGTTTCGCATGACGTTTCCCGCGCATATGTTGTGATATGTGAATTACGGTGATTCGTACTGAAATCAAGAAATTACAGAGGAAGTACTGAACATAATTAAACTGTTATGCAGAGGTTTAAAAAGTTAAAATGTACGTGAGATTTTTCTATAATACATTGAATTATTAATACATTAATGAGGTAATCTAGAGTGCTGTATTTACAGAATTTGATTATTACGTATATTTTCTTTATGCCGTTACCACTTAAATACTTCTTGCAGAAATTCGTAACAGTACGGGAGGCATACTTCTTTCAGTGCTAATCGAAGAGGTGTTAAGGAATTCTAATATGAAAACGAAGAACTTTGTTTGTGATGATGGTGAGTAATACATATATTTATGTGAAAAAATTATTTTCTTGTCCAGGAGTATCTCGAGTGTACATAGTTTATTAGAAGTTGGACAGAAAGTTCACATAGGATTACTACCTTTTCCCCCCCTCGGTTTTATATGGTAGGCTGACGTGTTTAAATTATTTCATACAACATGCATATTTATTCTAGTGCAATGCAAATACAGTTCATACTAATAAACAAGTGCTTTGTGGGATAATAACCATGTGTATAACTTGTGAATATGCTCCTTGAACTCTTTTGTCATTCCTATAGTAATATTCTGAAGCAGTAAGTATATACAATTTATGTGCATGTGTTTGTGTTTTTATGCATGCATTCATGTGTGTAGATAATCTTCTCTGACAAGCCAAGTTAATCATTTTAAGGATATTTGTGTGAAATCTTGTCTTTGTTTCAGAAAGTGCAGTTGCTAGTAAAGATGATGAATTACAACCCAGGAAAAAATTAAAACAAGGTAACACCATTTGTTGCAGGATCATACAAAGCATGGTAATATGGTGCGTCCCTATCCATCATGCTCTCCCTAACTTGTGTGGTGTGATTCTTAAAGTTACCATTTATTGCACAATTTTTTAGAATGAAATGTTGAATAATGCCACTTCTACAACCATTTTTCTATTAGATGAACAATCCTGCCTTCAAATTAAAATGGGGTGTGAAAATATTTTCATATTTAAAGTACTTGAATGTTTATGATGTTTTATGTGTGCAAAAGTTTTCCTTAGTGAAGATTGCATGCATATGATGGTTCCACATTGGGACATCTAGTTGAGAAATTGAACTGGGTTTGATTTTATAGCAGTGATCTGTTTCAGCACTGACTTATGCAACGTGATATTAAAATCTTCATAACCTGTGGCCATGTTTAGTACATTGATTGTTGGAATATAAAAATAAAAATATGTTAACTGTAACTTATCCACAATAGAATGTAAAAAGTTTAACCATTGATTCATACTTAAATTTGAATAAAATGTAATTTTTGTTTCTTTTTCAGCACGACTACCATTTCAGACCCTAGGTTCAGGGGTGGAGTCTTCATCACCACTTCTAAAGAACAGGAATAAAAGAAAACTTAGTGACTCAACAGATGATACGAAGATTATCAAAATCATACGACCAAATGATTCAGGCCAACTTGGTGAAACAAAAGAAAATGTTTGTTCACATGTTCTTTCAGATGACTTTAAGAAATCATCTGATACTGCAAGCAAAACATTATCCAATCCATGTGCTGGAAAAGAAGTTAAGGGACATATTAATGATTCTGTCGAAACATCAAAAATATCTAAAATAGTTATTGGTATAGATGAGAATGATAGTGTGGATGTTATTAATGGATCACATTCAAAGATTGAAATTGATAGGAATGTGAAAAATGACAGCACTGAGGAAGAAGAATTTAAGATTTCATACAAAGAGTGTTCAGGTGGTGATATTAATCCAGATGTGATTATCCTTAGTGATAGTGAGGATAATGTAGTAAAGAAAGATTTGACTAGCAGCAGTTACAGGATCATGCCAACAAAGGCACAGAACAGTTTTTCTGAGAATGACACTGCAGACAATAAGCAGAATGTTAGTTATTCTTCTCCTACTACAGACAGTGAACAGAGTGATGCTGAGAACAGTCCTACTGTATTAAAAAGTTTCACAGATGAATCAGTAAAATTTAAGAAAGAAATATCCCCTTCAAAGCCATGTGCTACGAACAGTAAATCAGACATCCCTAATCAGTTGTCACCAAAACCTGTAGATATTAAGTCTGTGAAATGTGTGCCATATGATATAAGAACACCAAAATTATCATCACCTCAGTGTTCTGTTTCTGAAACAAGTTCCAAGAGGAATACCACAGATGTTGGAAGAACATCAAATACTTCACTTCAGAATTTACTTTGTGATGATAATTCTGAGGAATGTAATTTCGACAGTGAAACATCTCCTGTTTCTAGTATAGGTTCTGCACAGAAAATCAGGAATTTGACTCCGAAACAATTATTAAAACAGCTTAGATCTGCAAAAAAGAAGGAAGAGAAAGAGAGGCAGCGACAGGTAACGTGTTAAGAGTTGTTGGAGGTTTTGTTTGTTGTTTCTTTTTAAATGTTGACATTGTTATTCTTCCAAAAGATGAACTAGCTTTCTAGTAAAGTTTAGAACAGCAAACATAAGTCTACTACTGGAACCATTCCTCATCCAGTTCAACCCAGTTTAAATAACAAAAGCATATTTAATTAAAATAAATTTGAACATAATTCACTCCCATGTTTTTCTTCCAGGTAGTCACTTATTTGTATATGTATTTCCTATCTGTTTCATGTAGGCTATCTGTCCAGCCTATTGTAAGATCCTTATTTAGGTTAGGTTGGTCATATTACCTGTGGATCGTGTATGCTCCTGTACTGCAACGTTATAACTTTAGTATGCAGATTTTGTGTGAAATGAGCATTCAGTTGAAGATATGGATGGTGTCAGTTAATATTCTGTAGATCTTATACAATCAAGATGATAATGTTACCTTTATCTTGATGTTATTTTATTGTTTTTGTTGTGGGGTGAGACTATGTCTCATTGGAACTGCAGCCACTAATGGGCTCATGTATGAATTAGTATGAAGCAATGGTGAAATTTTATTGAGAGGAGAAAATTGAAGCACTTGCAGAAAAACCTGCCCTAGTGTCACTTTGTCCACCACAGATCCCACTGGACTAACCTGAGCACGAACCCACATCAACACAGTTAGAAGCTGGTGACTAACCACCTGAGTTATTGCACTCATCTTCATGCTACTGTTGATCTTTCAGGAACGAGAGCAAAAGAAGGCTGAAGAGAAGGAGGAACGTGAAAAAAAGAGGGCTGAAGAAAAAGAAGAGAAACTGAGGCAAAAATTGGAGAAAGAAGAGCAAAAGAAGAAAGAAAAAGAGGAAAAAGAAGAACAGAGAAGGAAAGAAAAAGAAGAAAGAGAAGAGATAAAGAAAAAAGAAAAAGAGGAGAAGGAAAGGAAAAAGCAAGTTGAATTGGAGTGAGTGATTTTCTCAGCTGCTGCATGTTTTCATTATAAACTAAGTTGGGATACGCATTTCAGTAGAATTTGGGTTTCTCACGGCTGTCTTGTGGGTTGTATCATTCTGTAGTCTGGTAGATGTTTACTGATGATGGAGGATCAGTAAACTTCTACCAGACTACACGGTGCCACAACGCAATAGACAGCCATCTTTATACATAATTTGTTTCTATTAACTGTTGCATTTGTATGATTATATTATTTCTTCCTCTCAGAAAAAAAAACTGTATAGGTCATGGACAGATTTTTCATAAAAGTGCCCTTATGTTGTATTAAATATGTCGCTAGGTTCCGTACTAAATGTGAGATATAATGAAACATTTGTGAATATTCCAGAATTTGGACGACTGACATTTAGTTTTGGTTCCCATTTCCATTGGACAGAACAGTTCTCCTGTTTAGAAATAAATTTGTTCAATGTCCCACTGTTAACTAGAGGAATGGGATATTAAGTTTAGAGAAGTGAATTGCTCATTAGTTCCTGATATGTACTAACATTTTCACAAAATGCATTCACCCTGGATAAAAGCATGATTAATAAAAATATTTTTGTTTCCGTTAACTAGTCAGTACAAGTGGGAAAATGCATTTCTGGAGTCCTAAGTAGCATTATCGTAGAATCAAATATGTTGTGGAAGTTTTGTTATAAATTATGATATACTAATTTTAAATTTTTTAGGATAAAGAATGAAGAAAAGAGGGCCAAAGACGAGGAGAAACGAAAGAAAGAAGATAAAAGGCAAGCAGAGATAGCAGCATTCACTAGTTTCTTTCTTCCCAAGAAAGCTGAGACAAAACCAGTTGAGGAGCCAAAAGCCAAAGCTGAAGAAAATTTTATGCCCTTTGAGGTAACATGCAATTTGAAGTAAATGCCATTGATAACGGCAGTTCTTCTTTGATTGCATTTAAAAATTATGCCTGTATTTGTGGAATGTTGCACACACACTGTGGGAGAGATGAGAAATGTATACAAAATTGTTATCAGAAAATCAGATGGTAAAAGACTATTTAGAAGACCGATTGTATGAAATGTTACTATTAGAATTTATATTAAAGAAATTTGTCAAGATGGCGTGTACTGGATCGTGAAAGGTTGTTTCTGTTGGCACTGTCTGGGAATTGCAATATGAACAGTGTCATTTAAAAGATATTTTTGCGTGTTATTAATGTATATTACGTAAATTTACTTGGCGGTCTGTTGCTGTAATATGGTCATCATCGTTGTTTCTGATGTGATGCTGTATGCATATTGTTTGGCAGGTTAAAGCTGACATGAGACTAGCTCCCAGTACTCGAACAAAACTAACTGTGGAGCTCAAACAGTCATTGGATCAGTGTATTGAAAGCCAGTCAGAAGATCAGCTATATCTTGATGAAATTAGAAGTAAAAAGATTGTCCCACAAACCAGGACCTCTACTTGGGCTGTCAGTGACTTCAAAGATGATGTTGTAATTTTGGGTATGTAATGATTTATCATTAATCAGAAGTGGCAGTAAATATTTTGCATGAACTGGAGAAAGAAGCTGTTTATCTCTTCTAGCTGTTGGCCATTTAAAGCAGTGGTCCCCAACCTTTTTGTGCCTACGGGCACATTTGAGAGTTTATGAGATCATGGCGAGCACCAACCAATTAACAAAGCCAAATTTTCTTTTCTCTGGACAAATAAGATATGGACACTAAATAATACGCAAAACAATACGACAGTTAATGATACAAGAAACCATGCAATCAAAAATACGTACTTTTATAAGTACAATTATTATTACTCAAGTGGGAAGTTAGTGTGATGTATGACACTGCATTTCATCGGCCAGTTTTTCAAATTTGGGAGTGTAGGATGATGTTGCTGCTCGCAAACAATCGTCAAGATGGGCATTAGTAAGTAGAGATCTGTGCTTTGATTTTATAATGTTCATGGTTGAACGGCCTTCATTATTCAGTATAACCTCTTTCCGTATCAACGCGGGCACCCAAAAAGAGCCTTGGCGGGCGCCCGCGGGTACCACTGATGTAGAGTCTTGCAGCATTTAAACACTTTATGAGGTCTAGATTTCCTTCTGGTAGCAGGAATCCTCTTCAGAAAGTGATGTTCAGTTAGTCTTTTAGGAGGTGGTTTACAGTTTGCTACCATTAATATAGGCTACAGTTTTTATATAATGAACTTTGTAAATGTAAATAAAATTTGGGTGTCCCAACTCGCACTCTGTACAAGTTTTAAGCGTATTTTTTTGCTTTCGAATGGCTAGTTATTTTGTTTATCTGTTTATTGTGTAGATGATTATGATATATCTAGTAGTGTGACAGACAGCGGTTTTGAATTGTATCCTACTGCCGATAAACTGCCACATCCAAAATTGCTCCAGTTCTGGGAGAATCGTCGTCCACCATATTGGGGCACGTGGCGCAAGAAAAGCCAGAGTATCGGACCTAAGAATCCATTTAGCAGGGATGAAGTAAGTAAATACATGCAAAATTTCAACATTAAAATTGAAAATTGAAACCACAGTCTTGTTGCACAACCTTTGATGTTTCTGTTGATTTTATTTTGAAATCTTGAGGAACGGAATGATTTGTAATTATGACCTAATGTTTGTATTTACAGAAGTTCTTTGATTATGAAGTAGATTCAGATGATGAATGGGAAGAAGAAGAGCCTGGTGAATCTCTTCATGGTTCTGATGATGAGAAGGAATCTGAAGATGAATATGAAGTTGACAATGAATTCTTTGTGCCTCATGGTTACTTGAGTGATGAGGAAAATGATGGTCAAAAGGATGAAGATCATGTATGATTAAGTTATATAATTCAAACTTGTGTTTATTGAAAAATAAATCATGTAATAGGTTTGAAACTTTTGTAATTTAAATGTTAACATTGATTTATTTTTCCAGTCTCCCGAGTCATTAAAGATAAAACTAAAGGTCTTGGAATTGGAATTTGAAGAAGAAATGAAGCAAAAGACTGAACGCCTCAAACCTCGTCTGTTTGGTTGTGTCTGGGTTGACTCCAAAACTTCTGAGTGTGGTATGTTATGACCTTACTTATGTTTTTATTTCAGAGTTTCAGTTTGATAATAATTATGTCACCTATACATTGTGCAGTTTCTTCTCACCTATAAAACACTGAAAAAGTGATTGTCTCTTCTCTGTGAATGTCTATGTATTGTTCATTTAGATGCAGTAAATGAACTTGCTTGAACATTTTAGGGAAATAATTTAATTGATACCTTTTTTATTTCAAAGATTATTTTAATATTGTCCAGAGTTTTCTTATATGTACATATTCTAACCATATGCCTCAGTCAGCATGTATCAGGTGCATAATGAAAGTTTAATGTTAAATCTTACAGCTGACAGCCAACTCTTGAAACTGCTGAGCCAATACCGAGCAGTGTATCGGGATGGTCCGATTGTCACGTCTGCTCCTGATCTAGCCAGTGTAACAGGAAGTCCTGAATCCAGTAATCTGGTATCAAGTCCAACAACTCCATCACTAAAGAAGAAGAAGTTCCCTGAAGCAGGTAAAGTTACTTCAGTTCTATGCAGTCGTTACAGAGTGACGAACTTGTGCACCTTATAAGAAACAAAATAACAAAATAGCTGCAAGATAATTTATATTTAAATCTTTCTTTTATTTTGTACACACTGATATATGATTTAAATTGTGATTTCTGGGTTTTGATTCTAATCTTGTGCGCCCACCCGGCGACCGTGACAGGATTAAAATAATCCCAGAGGCCGGTCATAGGATTATTACAGGGGTTAACCCAAAATACAAATAAATGGACTCCCAAATTACCAAAATGTATTTTAAAAAAATATATAAATTTAAAAAGAGAACAAACAGACACAAATCAACCAATCCTCCCAGGGCTCAGGCTCCGGTCGGGGTTATGACTAGTAACGTCACACAAACCCAAAATCAGACCTAAACAACAGTGCAATGGAAACTTCAATTTCTTATACAAGGCATAAGTGGGGAAGCAACACTAAAAGAACATAACCCAGAATATGGAGGCAGCAGGTTCCTTTGTATGGTTTGCAACCACCCTCAAGGTTTCATAATGTAAATGCACATGTGTGTGTGTGTGTGTATGTGTAGTAATGGTATAAGAGCAAAAGCAGCGTTTTCTGATGCGGGATGAAGTGATATTTTATGACCTGAAATTGTTATGCTCATTAGCAACTTTCTTATTTCTTTTTCAGCAATTCCTGCGCTAATCAAACTTATTCATGGGAATATCAATAAACGTGAGTTTTTGGCAAAAGAGTTCTTGGCATATTGGAATGGGGAGCAGCAAAGATCAATAGAAGGATCAGTGGAAGGGACTGTATCAGTGTCATCTTTTGATATCTTTAAGAAGAGTGTCTCAAATAAGATTAAAGAACTAGCTACGTGGATAGCGTGTCCTGATACAGGTCCGATGAGTGGTCGTATGTGCTGGTATGTTCTTCCAGAAACACGCTTAGCCCACGGACTTCCTGATATCATTCTTCCAAACTCGTGGAATTACACTTTTAAACCAAAAAGACGCGAAAGTGATATCCAGATTCCCTCTACATCTACAGCACTTAATAGTGAATCAAACTCGAAACACCTAATTACAAAGTTTACGAAGAAAATGTCGGAAGTGGAGCGTAAAAAGCAGTTCAAAACTGCTCTGTCAGTAGAGGACACGATAGACAAGAGACAAGGCGATGGTAGTTCTCAGCGTGGTCACAAGTTTCAGAAAAAGTTACAGTTTAAGTCATCCACTAAATCAGCCACATTGTTCAACAGCGATGAGCAGCATAAAAGGAAGGTACCAGTTCAGTTGTCTATCCCAAAGGATCAGGAGTTGTCCAAAGTACGCGAGAATTCACTTACAACATTAATAAAACCACAAAATAATATTCCAATCGAAGGGAACAAATTTGTTCAGAGTTTTCTAAACGCTGTTCCGAATACTGAAAACACTGGAGGGGAAGAGTGCATTGTTTTAAGCGATTAAATTGTAAGGAACTATAATTAAAACCAGTTTTCTTAAAATGTTTGTTGATTGCTTTATTAGAATAACATAATGAACGCTTTAGTATATTTTCATTCTGTCTTATGTATGGCAATAATTTTTGAAGTTGTCACCACGAGTATGTGAAAGAATTGATTAAATTGACTAATTCTTTACAAGATTATTTATAATAGGGACGATGAAAGTCACTAGGTCGATCAAAGTTTAATGGATGAAGCAACAGGCATAAATCTTATTTCAACCTCCTCCTTCTTCTTCTTCTATGGCTGTCTGGTCCGTATTCGGTCCGTGGCCTCCTCAATTCTCCTCTTCCATTCGGTCCCATTGTCCTCTGGAAATGTAAGTTATATACATATAAGAGTACTTCGTTGAAAAGGATAAAAATATTTGGTGTGCAGTCTAATGAGGATTATCCTAAAGTATTTCTCTTACATGAGGATGATGTGATGTACACCGTACTTTTGAAGCTTGTGTAAGTAAATTAAAATAGATGTAGAGTCCTAGTTATCTGACCTAAAGAAGACTGAAGAATGGTCTTGTAATCAGAAATGTCATATGTGGAAGACTAATGAAAAAGATGAGGGTAAATATGTACTCGGTCAGCGATCATATTAATTGCGAAGAAAATGCAGTACAGAATCATCTCGTAGACAAAAGTAGTATTTAATGTAATGTAAATCTGAGAATTAAAGTTTATTTTTTGAAGTTGTTAGCAATGGGTATTTGCTTTTGAGCCTCCTCCCTTTTCTTTGTGGCGAGGTCGTGCCAGCACCTGAACGGTAGTTCATCTGCAGCAGTCGCCTCCCTTTGTTGTTCAACGTAAGTTCCTCGCAGTAGAGTCCCAATTTTCTAACCTTTGGTTTCATGACATACTGTGTCAGAATGCTCTATTTTATTACTCATTAACGAGGCGTGTAACAATGAATTACGCTTCCCCGCCATGTACCACATACATGTACTCGATCACAGTTGACGTCTTTACTGTTCAGGCACTGGCTTGACGCTGCTACAAAGAAATGGTTGGAGGATCAGAACCATACACCCAAAACTAACTTCTTAAAAAAATTAACTCTTTTATTTGCAAATTTATGCAATGTTAAATACTATTTTTGTTAGTGAGATTTTTTGATTTGATGCCTTATTCTATTTTCTTTGTAATTTAGTAATATTGTAAATTGAGTTTTCTTCTACGCTATCTGACCGTACTTTGATCCTGTTTAGGATGAATAATCACGCTTCTTCTGTATTTACATATGAATCTACGGTGTCACAACGCAGAAGAACATCATCGTGGTCGTATACGTGTTAAAAAGTAAAGTATGTGACAGTTTTGGCAACTTAAAAGATTAATTTCTTGGAACTAGTGTATAGAGAACGCTCTCACTGGTAGAATTAAAACAATTTTATGTCATGGTACTTAGTGCAATATTTAATCCACCAAGTCTACTTGCGCTTGGCAGAAATTATGAATGAAATACATTTATTATTTAGAAAATGAGTGCATTTCTCTACAAGTTTAAATTTCGAGTGATTGTTGGCTTGGCCATTTACATTAGCTATTTACTGTGGATTTAAATCAATGGGTATAATATTTTATTTATTTTATCCAAGGCCATTTTATTAAATGTGCAAAGCAGGCAGCTGCCCAGGACTCCC